AGGAAATTTAATGCTGGCTCTACAGACCATTTTCAACAAATAAATAAATAACCAAGAGAGAACTATGGCCATCTTGTTTACCCAGATTGAATGTGTGTGGCTTTTATGTCGGCAAACTAAACACAGGCTATAGAAATAATCCTCACATAAACAAACATAACAGATTTATGCCATTTTAAGAATCATGGAGTCATGGAATATAAATTTCAATGTGCAATAGAAAATTTATTTGTGAAATGTGCTTCAATACTGGACACATACTGTAATATCAAATAAGTAGTTTTACTAAAAAAATATTTTGAACATGGATGGAACTTTCATTTAAGATTGTACAGTAAAAAGAGGCTTTCATAAGACAAAACCCACCTACCAACTGCAACCTTGCTTTATTAACATTAAGTAATACTGTTAGAAACAAAAGAATGAACTGCTTTACATGTAGGCTTACTTGATTTTCTCCAGGTATTCTGGAGTGTTTTGGTTTGCCATATTAGAAGGACTAATATGCAGCTTAAAGTCAGGGCCAAAGTACTCAAAGTAGTCATTGTATGGAAGTTCATTTGCAATCTCTGTCCCCAGAGCAACTGATGTTTCATACGTCCAACAACGAGATACATTCCGTATAGTGTAACCTCCTCCTCCAACCATCAAGAATGGGAGTCCATACTTCTTTACAAACTCCACACATTTCCCATGACCTAAACAAAGTTACAAGATAATCCAGATATTTGATAATCCTCTGAAAATGGCCAAACTTATTTCAAAGATTTGTGCTTCCTCCTACCCAGCCAACATGAGACATATGAAGGAAAGTTATGAAATATTGAGACACATCATGAGATAAATTTCTATGTTCTCCTTCAGAAGAAGTTAGTGCCCTGTTCACCACAGTTTACAATTTATGAGTTTTGGTCTATCTTTCTTACACTGAACAAACATCTCAGATGTTTTCTAAAAAAAATTATAACACGGACACAGCAGAGAAATTACAGTCAAAGCAAAATGACTTTTATGGATGGCAGACAGAAAAATTCATCTCAGCGTGACATGTGTTTCTCTTCACAGGGACTGTATGGAAAAATAATTTACATTGAGTTATAGTATGAAGATGTAAGATAAATTTACTTTATGAGCACCTGTTACATGAACAAGCAATACATCATGTCCTGTGACCTACCTCTTACAGTGAGATTGAAGCAACCAAGTCTGTCACCAGTTAGAGAATCTGCTCCACACTGCAGCACAACAGCACTAGGCTGAAAAGTCTCCATCACCTTTGAGATTATGGGAACAAAGATAGACTCATAGCTCTCATCATCCATTCCATCTCGTAAAGGAATGTTCACTGCATAGTACTTTCCCTTTCCTGCTCCGATATCCTAAAGAAAATGCCAAGCAACACACACTTCTCAAATTCACATAAATCTAAAAAATCTTCCACCACCTTAATAAGCTACTGAATAATCTAGCAATGAAGAATGTACAAGGCATTCAGGAAAATTAGTGACTTGACGCAATAAGGAATTCATAATATCAATTTTTTTATGCTATTCCATGACTTTAATCCTGTATAACCTTGTGTAAAATAGTATGTTATTACTGGTCCTTGCACACAGTGCACAAAAGGAATACCAAACTGGGATGTTATTAATTTTTTAATCTCTGTCTCTACTCAGCTGAGCACGGTGGTGTAGTGATTATGCTGTAAACTTGTATTTGTTCTTACTTGGCTGTTTGCCGAGTTAGGTTAGCAGAATTCCTATGCCTCCAGGAAAATATCAGAATATTACTTTAAAATATGCTCACTAAAGTTGATTTTCACAGTACACAGTAATACACGGACATTCATTCAACTGTAGTTGACAGCAATAGGGTCAAAGTGGATAATTGTTTTAAATCCTACTGATGGAACAGCCACTGATAAATTTGAGTGAGTTATGAGAAAGCACTTCTGGTAGATGTGTAATATTTTCAGGTTATCTTGCAGGCACTGTCTGTTTAAACTTTTATCACTAACATCTAAACTGTTGATCCTACTGTACCTTCTCTACAGTAAAATTTAACTTTAAACTCATGCTGCACCATAACAATACCGCCGATTTGATAAAACCTCAAACAAAACACATACCACTTGGTATCTTGTTTACAGCTACTTACAGAATTTCCTAAAGGTAAATTGACAACCAGCTACCCATTCCAGACAGTGTTAAAACACCAAGAAAATTATATCAATAAATATGTAGTTTAAAATACGACATACTCTGAGGTCACCAGTGCCAGGAAAGTACTCGCCATACTTGTGGAAGGACACTGTCATCACCCTGTCTGTGGTGTAGAATGCTTCCTCAACACCATCCCCATGGTGGACATCGATGTCAATGTACAAAACTCTCTGATGATACTTGAGCAACTCCAAAATACCAAGGACAATGTCATTAACATAGCAAAAGCCAGATGCCTCTGATTTTTTGGCGTGGTGGAGGCCACCACCCCAGTTGATGCAGATTTCAGAAGCTTGCTTATTCAGCTTTACAGCAGCTGCTACTGAGCCACCTGATGACAGCTGGCAGAACTCATACAATCCATCAAACACTGGACAGTCTTCTCCCACATTAACTAAATGGGAAAACACACGTTAATCAACATACAATAAAACGTTGTTACATAAAGTCAATGTTGTTCCTGCATGGAGTGATAAATGAGGAAGGAAGAAATTAACAATGGAAGGAGGAGCAAGATATGTACAGTATTGGTGTGTACTTACACCTCTGCATCTGCTTATTGTACTCTGACATATTATCAGGTCTGATGCTTCTTAAGAACCGGACATAGTCATCACTATGGAATTTTGTCATCTCATCTGCTGTGGCTTTATGTGGGCGCTGAAACACCAACATTTATTATGCACATTCTGATCATTTTGTATAAAATTCTGTCAATGTGAATAAATTAGCCAACCATATCCAAGAAATTGGATGGGAGAAGAATCCACATATATAAAGATATAAAAGTAAGCTCCACATGATATAAACTTTATCCAAAATGGTATCAACTGGAGCATACAGAATATGTACAGGGGCAGGCATCACTTATTAAAATATGAAAATGAGGTTTGAATTCATAGTAGGGTAACATAAAAAACACATACTTACATAAATCTCCATTTTCCTGTACAGACCATAGTTGAGTAACAAATTGTGTGTCATCCTTATTCGATGTGGTTTCATGGGATGGCCCTGGCCATAGTAATAATTACCAATGTCACCTGAGGACAAACAGCAATCCCTGGTAACTCATTGAAAAATGGAAAAATGAGCACTGATAGCTTCTTACTGGGGATGTGTGTTCGATGTACACAAATTCACAACAGACATCACCAAGCCACTGATTCTTAGAGTCCAATAAAGCAAATGACCTGTAACAACTTCTAATCTGTGTTTCACAGTAGCCTATAAAAGGTTTTTGCACTTTGCAAAGAAGCAAATTTTGATTGTATTGTAAAAGCTAAGTTCACCGAATATGTAATGTATTAATTTAACTTAATATTATTGCAGAAGTCACTTTTCTCATATTTCATGGCAGTCTACAATTATGTTTTTGTTATTAAGGCAGTGAATGCAAATTGCAGCAATAATTTTCCAAGATTTATTGTGACTACAACAATTGTGGGGGTGCTTAAATGTACAGATATTGCTTTAACTGAAACATTTAATCTCAGATTTAATTTCTGTGTGGTTCAATCATCTAATGACACAAGGTTTTTACAATTTAATTTTTTCTTTCATCTTGCATACTGAATATCCAGAATCAAATACCTAAATGAAAGGCCACTGATGACTTCATGAAGCCAAAACATGCTTGGTAAGTAAAGTAAATAAATAACCAATAATAGAAGTAAAAGTGGTTGGTTCATGCATCTCCTGCACTATACACATTTTGTATGCATGTAATTTAAGCTACTTTCACTCTTAGTGATCTGTATTAAGCCCATTTGTATTTGAAACAATTTGTGTTGTAACATCCTTTTTTCAGGCCTATGTGGATCTTTTGCAATGTAAATAAATTACATTTCTATAAACGGAATATGTTTAATTTTCGATAAACGTATGCGAATAACGATTACCATGATATGAATTTCTAATATAGGATTTTGCAGAAAATTTTTAGCTTGTATTTTTGTATATATTTTACAATTACAAATATTACTTGTAATGCAATACTGTTGTTCATTAGTATATCAGGGCCTTGTTATATCGAACATTTGTTAAAATAATTACAATTTTGAAGACGCCCCTTAATTTCATTAATTTTCCTTATACTTACGATCATAATACCAACATACATTCATACCATCGTACTTCTCAGTACACTATTACTTATCGTAAACATCACGTACTCCAGTCTGGCTTATTATTAATGCTTATAAGCTTTTATAAAACTCTGTAACGCTTCTGTCGTAATTCGGGCTACAGTTTGTTGTATCATTACTAAGCAAGAGTGTTTTACTATCAATATTTATAAATGTGACGAACTTTGCTATTTAAACATCTTATACTACACCACAATATCTACGGTGCTACGAGAGTGCCTGAATTGATGATCTTTCACACTAGCGCCATGAAAACAATCAGATCTTTATAAAATCATATCTTTTATTAACTCCGTCTCGCCTTGTTACAAACGAACTAAAATACGGCTTTGCACTCCCGATCGCTATCATTTTTATTCTAATATATCATCAAAATAAGTAAATATAAAATCTCGCAACACAGGCCTATTAAGAGCCAAACCGAACGTAAATATATCAATTTCCTCACAAATATTCAGTAAAGTATCATTAAATATATTTTAAAATAATACTTACTATCGTAATAGTAACACACACGTTTTTTGCTATGGGGTTGTGTTGACATTTTTAAATCAGTAAGTACTTAAAAAGTCCCACACTTTACACTCCCCCAACTACAGACACTCACCGCCTTCTAAAACCTTTTCACTTTTGCTTAACAGAACAGTTGTTAAATATATACTTTCAAGTTAGGCAACATTGATAGGAATTATGAGGGAAACAATCTTCATTTGTAGTTATTTAAATTCATGAGCATGACTTCTTCATGTATGTCGTTATATATCATTGCGAATATCAACATCACGGATTATTGGTTACAACTGATATCAAACTATAGATTAGGATTCTCGAGGTATTTCTAAAATTCCAAAAGAATTGAAGTGGATGAGAAATGTGAATGAATTAAATAAATTTGAGGTTATAATCTAAGGAGGTGATATTCTCTCCGTGATTCTAAGTTCCCCCTGAGTACAAGGAAGATTTATTATACAGAACCATCATTCTTCATTAATTTAACGTTAATGTTAACGTTATAGCATGTTAATGAAATTATAATCGTCGCGTGATTTAAGGCGTCATACGTTGGTAATCATTACATGTCCACCAACGCCATAATAAAGTTCCTGTGCGCAATAGTATATATTTATTATTTTATATTTGTTTAAGAAGTTGAAATCACCAAATTGATTTTTTAAACCTTATACTGTTTCACTTATATTCGTATATTGTAGTAATTATCTGAAAGCCAATTTTAAAACTTATGATTAAATTTATGTCTAGTTAGTGGTGATTCTGTCTGGATTTATGGTATAGAAAGTTCCTAATGGACGGGTTGGTATTATGAGCCATGGTAAGATAAAAGCAGGTTGAAGTAATCCGCTATCTGTTGTCAGTTGTGTTTTGGTCGGTGGTGTAGTGACTGTGATGTTATGTTCGGTAAATGCGAATTGACTGTATTTGTCGTTTTGATGACTAAATCGGAGGAATTGACCAGTTAACTTCGCGTAACAGAGAAGGTAATCACTTTGTCTTTATTGTTAGGCGTAATTATGCGTTGTCTAGTAAGTGGCAATGTCAGTGCCGTCAAGCCGTGGTATTAGTGTCATTGACTGTGATTGGAGTTTGATGCATACTGTTTTGTGCATTCAAAGCAGCTTCAGCCATGACAAATGGTTTATTTACCATGCGCATTGTCAGGCACTTTACTTGTCAAGTGTTTACTTGTATTTAGGGGGTGGAGTTCAGTCACATTTAAGATTAGGTGGCTGGTACAATTTGTGTGTGCCACAAGAGCTTTCTTTCTCGATTTCCTTTTCGAATAATCCAATCTCCATAGACATTTTGGTGTGTTCTCTTTCATGAACTAAAACTAAATGACTATATATTAATGCCATTATCTTTTCTTTGTGCCTTATTTCATGAAGGAGGAAGGATGTGTGTTGCTCTTTTGTGCTTTGAGATTGTCCTTATCATTTGCGATTTTATGTTCATTTCCTGTGCACACACACTTCCAGGAACTTGATTGCAGTGAATAGCATGTCCTGTGTGTTTGGAAGTCCAGTTTCTTTATATTATTTTAAGCAAGTTATGTGTCAGACACCTTGTGAAGTAAGTTAACTGAGCACTGAGTTTACTTGAAAGTAAATTTAGTAATTTGAAAACAAATTTAAACAAATTCATACTCCAAACATGTGACTAATTCTGTTTTACTTATATGGATTATTATATTTTGAAATTAGAAGTATGCATCACTGGGTTAACTCATAGGCATAGTACTTTATTTTGCCTTTAAAATTTTTTATATAAATCATTTTGAAGGTTTAAAAAATAAATTTCATTAAATTTTTATACAGGTATACTTTTCTCTTATGCAAAAAGTTAACCACTTTGACTCACTTCCATTGACTTTCGTAGCCATTAAAGTAGCTAATGTCACCTGATTTGGCACATATCTCTGTGTTTTTTAAAGTATGCCATTGGGTTGAAGTGCATTGTTAGTGCTTCATTTCTAGGAGCAAGTCTGTGATGAATGGATTCAGAGTTAATGATATGTGTAGTGACTTCTTTGATTTGAGCTTCAGTAACACTTTCAAGGTGCAAGTAAGTTATGCATATTGGTAACAGGCTGTTAAAAAGTTAGCTATTATGAATATTGTATTTTTGTGGTAATTATAGACCTGTGGAGGAAGTAACAGGGGGAGGAAGAAGATTGCATTTTGAAGAGCTTCATAATTTGTAGGGTGAATAAAAAAAGGGTAATGAGATGAGAAAGAGACATAGCATGTGTGGGGAAAATAAAAATGCTGGCAAAAGTTTGATAATAAAACCTGAAGGGAAGATACCATGTAATATGGATGGGAGGGTTATGGTGAAATGTGATGTGGACTGAATTCAAATGGCCTGGGTTGGGGACAAGTGGTAGACTTTTGTGTACACAGTAATGGACATTCGATTTTCATAAAGGGGGGGGGGGGGGTGAAAAGCTATGCAGCTGTTATCTTCTCATTGAAGTTTCTACACCATGTATCATTAATTGTTGTTAAGAATCAAGGCCGTTGTCAGCTCACATAGAATGTCAGAAGTTAGTGGAAGCACTGTTTAATGCATCACTGTTTAACAGGCCAGTCTCACCCTAGCCTTTCATGCTAGTTCTCATAATATAGATGTATGGAGGTGACAGCAACATTTTACTTTACCAGTTGTAGACATGGAGTCACAATTGGCCACGCGGTCGCTGGGACTGTGGGTTCGAATCCCACTCAAGCCGTGGATGTTTGTCCGTGTTTTTCTGTGTTGTGCTGTCCTGTGTACAGGTAGAGGCCTTGCGACGGGCCGATCCCTCGTCCAAGGAGTCCTACCGAATGTCTATAGCTCAAGCCAACGAAAAGTTAGGACTCGCAGTGCTCAGGCACTTGAAGAACAGGTCGTCCAAGTATCCAAGTAAGTAAGTAGTAGACATGACTCTACTATTTGTTCCGTTGTGACAGATTGAATGATTAGTGAAGGTGGAATATAATTATATGGGTACTAATATAGGAAATATTGTTTAATGTGTTGAATAATCTATGACATGTTATAGAAATACATTTAAAACACAGAACAAAATAAATAAGCTTTTGTATACAAGCTGTTACAATTAAGTACAGTTATGTTTTGCATATTTTAGATTTCATTGATTCAAATCTCAGCAGCACAGCAGGCCAAAGTGTTTGTCAAAGTGATTCAAATGAAAGAGATGCAGTTTTTCTGTGACTGAGCTATAATGCTGAAGTCAGAATACCAACGAATGATTCGGAATCTTTTCTCAGCGTCGGTACGGAAAGCGCCGTGACTCTCGCTGTCGCTTTTCCAACGTCATTTTGTGAGGCATCCCGAGGTTTATCTTGTTATGTTTGGAATCTTGTGTCGGCGCCGCGATGATAGGCGTCGATTCACCAGATCGACTCATATGGCGTCCGTGGGCTCCTCTTTGTGTGATTCGAATTTTATGTTGGCGTCTTCAAAGAAAGCACAAGTTACCATTTTCTAGGGCACCAGCCAAACCCAAATTATGGATCCAAATGCCTATTGCCTCCTGTAATACATTTTGCAGCTTTAATTTGACAACAGCACGTGCAGAATGCTTATGTATGTTTAATAATGGCAAGCTGTGGAATGAACATAATTAAATATTTATATCGTAATTTTTATTTTTGTAATTAAATTATTAGGGCATATAGACAGAAGAGTGTTTGAATAAGAGTTTATATCTTTAATCATTTGAAGATTATGCTTAAAACAAAATATATTGACACCAATTATTCTTGGAAATGAAGGTGTTATCGCTTCTTTGTTTTATAGGGAGAGCCGTATTTTACTTTATTATGACGATCGTTTAATACAGAAACTCTTTATAAAGAACGTTTGTTGTTTTTCCCGTGGATGCCACAGAGAGGCGTGCCATTATTTTTTCGTACAACTTTGGTCTTGGCGTCGTTCTTCTATCGTGTTTGGTATCCGAGGTACAGGAACAGCCCTAAGCTGGAATCGAACACAGGGCTCTTTTCTGGGATTTTGAACCTTCTCTGTTCTCTTCCTGATCTAAAGGAATAAGCGAACCAAATTTGCTCGAAATCGGTTTATCCCTTTTCGAGGTATGAGTGATCATACAATCTTACGCACAGTCTAGTATTTTATTTTGGTACTTAATTGCGTATTTGTCGGTGTTAAATTTGTCGAAAAACCTCAGTTTCTTATCGCCGTCATGTTTGTAATTGTTGACTTTAAAGAATGTTTCATTTTTTCCTGGGCGTAAAGCGCTGCCGGGGTGTGACGTTGACCACTGATTCCTCACCCCTCGCCCTTAAGAATGAGCAGAAGCTATACAGCGTCTCCCCCCAAGTGCCTGCATGGCGTATAGGAGGATAACTTTTTATGAGGACTGCACTGTTAAATTTACTCCAGTTCTGGCTTTAAAGGCTTAATGTAGACAAACAAAAATTTCGTTATTGGTCTGTGATGCCAATCTAGAGTTCAAGCGTTCCATTCGTCAGTAATCGATATGGGTGTTAGCAGTCGACTGAAATAATAACTACCAAATACTAACAAAAACTGCAGTTGACTTAGATTTTCTTTCTTTTGTGAAACATTTGAAATAATGGTCATGGATCCAAAGAAATATGTATCTTTATTTTATTTCAGTTTCGAGAAGATTAGGCAAGAAATATCCAATAGTGAAGACTCGTAATACCAAATGAGATTAAGCCTGCGACCAGATACAAATTTATTCTATTTTTAATGTCATTTTTATTTACTTCGTGGGGAGAAAAGTAAATATTAAACTTGGGAAAATTGTATTTTACGTTGTGGTCCGTTTTATGTAACTGTTGGAAGTCATTTGTTTTTCTAAGTTACTCCAGTTTTATTCATGAAAGAAGCTATGGTCGCTTCCTGACCTTGAATTCGTTGTAGACACACCTCAGGTAGCACTTCTTAGCTTTCGTAGTTGATACGGTACCGTTAAATAACATTTTTGCGTTGTATTTGTACGTGCTATTACGCTACTGGCTACAACAGTAGGGTACTCTGTGTGCATATTAACTGCTTCCTTTGAGATTTTCATTTCCATCCGCGTCATTGGCGATTGCACATCCGGTGAAAGACAAAGCAAGGCCTGACGAAAGTATTCGTCGAATTTTCCAAAGGAAGTGAAGTGTTAGGTCCCAACTAACTGACCAGGTAATCAGCTGAGTAACTAAGAGTCTTTCTTTCATGAGAGAAATGGTCAGCATGTTTTGCTAGTCAGTTTTTTCGTCTTTTATAGAATTCGAAAGTTCATTACCGCGAAGACAAAATATTCTGAAGTGCATGGTAGCAAGTGTTCTCAGATTTTATTCTGCACTTAATTTCTTCGAGAAAGCAATTTTGATTTTGACGTTATAGCGTATTGACTGATCAGGCTGTGTCGGTTAATCGCCGGCTGCTGATAGTCGCGACCAGGTGGTATATGTGGTGGACAGAGTGGCAATGGCGTAGGTTTATCTCCAAACATATTCGTTTCCCCTTGTTAATATCAATCAACCATTATTCCGTAAACTCATGCATGGTTTGGGTATTGGACATTGGGCCCTTTAGCGGCCCAGTTCCACAGAGAGACAGTTTGCATCTGACAAGTCTAGGAACCAAAATACCTTAGTGACCAACTGAGTAATTTGCCTAAGTAGGAGTGCTAACCATTCTGTCGCAACTTCAGTTAATTTGGTGTCTTAAGTCACACCTTTGTACCCTAAAGTATGTCACGACCACTGTCTTCCACATCCTATCCAGTAATCTGTTCAAAGGTGATGTCTGTCTTCAGGGTTGTTGCGCCGTGTAGTCTGGTAGAAGTTTAAAAACGTTTCAGAGATCCTTGCTGCATCAATATCATCGCCCTGTTGATGGAGGCAGCAAGGACCTCTGTAACGTCAGCAAACTTCTACCGGACTGTACGGCGCAATGACCCAGAAAACAGACGTCTTCAGAATCACCGCCGTGAAAA